CACTGAAGACAAATTTCTTAAAAACCATTAAAATATCTTTTAAGGCTGGGTGAACGTTAAAATTAAATATTTTTGACTTTTTTGAAGGGCAGAATCTGGGTACCACTACCACAGTGAATTAGTTACACCTTAAGATTTTATCCCTTGGTGACACACTAAAATGCAGATGTACTTCCTCATTGCTCCAAATTGCTCCTTATTTTGTTCCTTTTCTCAATACAAAAAATTCACAATTAAATCAAAACGCCTAGCCTAGTCCAAGGTGAAGCACCATCCGGACAGGAGAGGTTAAAGTGTTTTGCGGATTCAGATGGAATTGTAATCATCTTTAAGCTTACATTTGAACATGGGTAACTTATTCTGCTCGCAGAACATTCCTAGAATTATATATATGAAACAAAAACAAACAAACTTCCAAATCAGTGCAGCACACACTACTATTTTGAGAAAGGAAATCAAAATAGCTACTTTTGGAGTGGTTAAGCCGTACACGACTGTCAAAAACCATGCCTTACAAACCATACTACTTGGATTGACACATTAGCTAAGCCACAGCAAGGAACTTTCAGTTTACTGTAGGGTGTGTGTAGCCTTAGTTTTTGGTTTGATGGAATCATGGCAGCAAAACAAGAGGGGTGGGTGGGGGAGAATTTCTTGCTGACACGATGACTGCCATGAAACTATATAGCAACTGTTTGTACAGAGGTTGGGCCTATGTGGATTCTGCCGTATCATCCTCTTCAGTAAATATATATTTATATTAGTAGCAGACCTGGTGACATCTTATTGACCAGCACACAGAACTGCTTTGTTATAAGGGCTTTGTGCATAATCTGAAAACCAGCAACAGTGCAAAGGTGAAATGAGAGGCAAGGGCCAACAGCGTGATAGGGTAGACATTGCACTGGGGAAGATCAATGAGATCAGAACATCAAACCTTCCAAAGTACTTCTGAAAGGAAACCACAAACAAAGGGATTTGGCAATATTGGAAAGAGGACTTGAGACTGCTCCTCATCTATTTTCAGGGTTTTCGGTGCCTGCTTTACAAAGGTTGACTGAGATTTTGCACACCAATTGACTTATTTATTAGGTTGGTTTCTGGGAAAAGATGTATGGCTATTTATCCAGCTGAAATGATCTGCAATATTCTTGTGGCGAGATGGGCGGCAAATACATTTAATAAATAACAACGATCTGCAATGCTCTAATGATTTCCAAAGTAGCTCATTCACGGGAATATCCTGTGATTTTTTTTTATCCCCAGGTATCCATTCTGTAAAGCTGGGGGTATATGGAGAAACATGCAGCAGAGTAAAACCTCTAGAGGCCTTTTTCCAATTCTGCTACAAGCCAACAGCTCACAGTGCTGATAATTCTGAATTCCGACCCAACCCTCCTCTCAAAAGTGAGCCAAGCCATCATTTTTGGACTGTACCATTATCTTCCGGGGAATGAAATACGGCTAAGCTAATGGTCTACAAACAGATGCAGAGCCCACCCTTCAAGTGCCGATATTCTGAGCAGAATGCTCTTTTGCCATGCTGCTATGATTTGAAGTTGAAATTTTCCTCTTTTGCTCTGGCCTCTAAGAGCATGAATGTGTTTAATTAAATGTGGTTAACAGTTGACTTCCCACAATTTTTTATTTATTTATGTACTGACAAGTTATAGAATTATAAAATAGTACCGTTCTATTTTAACAGAGGTTTTTTTTTAATGATCTGTACACACATGGAATGAAATAGATTCCTAGAGGAGTGAATAAACCTTGGGGACCAAGCAGCTTTTAAACCCACCCAAAATGAGAAATGAGCAGCTCGAACTTTGGCCGAAGGGGTATTTTACTCACAACAGGAAGCCTGTTCCATGCACTTCTATTTACCTGAAAAACAATCTTATAGACAAACAAACAGTGTAGACACTCTACAAATTTACTTACCACAGCTTTTCATACTGCGCCTGCATGGGCACTGTATTAGAAGATGCACATCATATTGCAGAGCCCAATTCCTATATCAGCATGCTTGAAAAGGACTTACATTTTATCTCTTGCAAGCCTAACATTGAGTTTCTGCAGATGTCACCCACACCTGCAGATGTCAGAGGTTGGAGGAAGATACTGCTACGGTTATGCCTTTTAAGGTAGCATTTGACTGTATCCTCTCACCAGCCCTGGTCCAACTTGAAAGCAACACTCGTTTGAAAGCCAGGTTATCAGGCACAATATTTGACATGAGATTAGCAGATTCATGCCTACATCTCCTTACACACAATGAGAAGAGATATGTATGTAGGAGCATTTGCCTAGTTCCACACCACTCATGTTCATTCTTGATTCAGGTCAGCTTCGGTTGTTTTTGTCTCTAGTTTGAACAAATGGAACAATTCGGTTGAATTGGGCGGCTACAAACAAAAACTCAAATGAAATAAATGTTTGACATTACATACATTCAGGCTTGATTCCAGGTTTCGGTATCAATGCATTGCTACTAAAACAAAAGGCATCAACTTCTCTATACAGTACTTCACCCACCTTTAAAACAGAGGTAAGGGACTCTGTGCCTTCTCCCCCAACGGGGAGCTATAGAGAGGTGGATGCACTTATATCAAATTAGGTATAAGCTATTGCTTATACAGTATGTCCACGTTTCCCACAGCAGAGGTACCTGTTTTCAAGTCAACTGGAAGAATGCAAGAGGTTGCAAGGACTTTTACCCAACATGTCTTATTAAATGCAGGAAAGGAAGCCTGGTTGTCCAAATGAATCATTCAAGACCACACCAATTATGAAACACTCAATTGGTGCATCTTGGGCTGAAGGTGGCCTGGGGAAAAAGACTGCATGTCTTCCTGGAATATTCAAAATCTCAGTTGTTGGCCTGTGGGGTAAGAGTGGTCTACACACTTTTCTTTCCCGCCCACCCACCCTCGTGCAGATTTGTGTGTGATTCTGCAGCTGGTATACTCCACCCCCCAATATCTGGTGCAGCCCACCGCTTAAATCTTCTCAGGTAGGTCTTGAAGATGTTGCTCCATGGAGGGCCTCTTCAGGTCCCATTCGCTGCTTTCAGGCAGAAGAGAAGCCGCCACAGCAGTCTGAATCTGATTCCTGGTCTGTAATACTGGATATACGATACACCAGCATGGAGAACCCCTTTTACTTGGGGGGGAAGGAAGAGGTGAAAGATTTCTAATGACTTATTCAGCCAGCTTAAGAAAATGATAAAAACAGAACATATTATATATAGTAGCATATATAACATTATATAACAGTCAGCATTGGGCTATGAAAAGGATGGAAAGGACAACACAAAGAAGCCTCAAATAATCTGATCATTCCTGAAAAATTTAATGGAACAACTCATCCATCCATTCCCTTTGCTCCCAAGTGGCCTCGTTTAGGTAAGACTTTAACCCTGATTCTTTTTAATTCCATAAAATACTGTGTTTTTAATAATTTAGTATCAATCTTTGCCTGAAGCTTTGCATTCTGCCTGTAGTGCTCCAAGGCGCAGAACCCTTCAAGAATTAAGCTGTAAAGTCTAATTCAGCAATATTGTCTTACAAATTTCAAGTGAAAAATTTCTTATCTCTTGAAAACACTGATTTGCTGTCCTTGAATTTAGGTGTTCAAGGTGCCTCATTATTGTTATGTAGGACTGTTTCTTCTAATCTGAATACTCAAGCTAAACATTGAGAACTTTCCTCCCGATTAGTCACTGTAAATTCCCATTATAAAGATAAATGTATAATAGCATTCTGATGCTACCACTGATTTTCTAGTACAAATTAACAAAGTCAACTAAACTATTTTCAGAAACAAAAAATAAGTTATTCTTAGGTTTTGATGCACAAAGCAGATTATAGGNGGACAGTTTCCTGGCTCGCTCAAAGGTCTTTTCAAGGGCCTTGTGTCTGTGGGCCTCGGCCTTAGACAAGGCCTTGCCACCTCTGGGGTTTGGTGTTCCCTTCCCCTTGGAACCCTTCACCTGCTCCACCACCAGTGGATTTGGCCTACTGCATTTCACAGTGTCCATGGTGTCTTCTGGCGCTCTTTTAGACTTCTCTGCCATCTTCAATCTTTGATCTGGAGCTTGAACCTGTAGCCAGTTATAGGCGCGAGTGCTGTTTAATGACTGCGCGCCTCACAGATGCGTCCAATCGATGGGAGAATGCCCCAAGGGGTCAAACCTCTCCTAGGCTGCTCTTATGTCCTTCGATGGAGGGGAAAGGCCTTGCCGGTGCCACGAGGAAGGCCAATCCACCCCTGCATTTGCACGCTGAGGGAGAAGGCGCAAATGCTAGTAAATGGCCCACCAGAAAAGCGTGCCAAAAACACGCTTAAAATGGCCGCCGCGCCTCTCCGGAGTCCATGGGAGTTGTTTTGCGGTGCTCCGGGCCTCCGCCGAGGTCACCGAGCGATCCGAAGGCCAAGTAACAGCTTGGGGGTGAGGAAGTCTCCTGCTGCCCCCCGTGCTCGCCAGCAGCCGCCGGACAAGCGCCCACGTACCACAGCTCCGCTGTCCTTACAAGCGGCTTCTCCGGACTCCCTCAGCCTTTAATATAGTGATCTTGCGAAACGTTGCTTCTTTTGCCCTATCTAGCTGACAAAAATAACAAAGGAACTAACTAATTTTGGAGAGTTCAGTTTATTTGTCCAAGGACTGAGGAACTCCCCCAAAACACGTCCGAACTGGGCTGGACTGAGTTTTTGAACTGGCCCTCAATGAGGAGGGGAGGCGTGGCCAAAAGAAAACTCAGGCCTTTGGCGAATAGACTGAATTTAACCATGCTTGGACTCTCCAAGCAGCGCACAGGAGAATTTCTATCTTTATTAAAGGCGTTTTCAAGTAATGTTTGCCAATTGTAGGCATGTCTGTAATTATAAATGTCTGGCTATAATTGCTTCTAGCATGCAATAAGAACAAGATAAACAGTAAGAAATATAGTTTTCCATGGCTGTTTTCCTCATCAAATTCTACTTCTATTCTTGACCTTTCTTAGGCTAACATATTATGCTAAGCCATAACATGATGGAATGATTTGTCACAGCAAAGAATGACGACAAAATAATAATCCATAGGGCTGGAGACGACTGGCCATATAGACAGTTTTTACATGAAGATTTTACATTGTTATTTTCATTGTATTACCTTTAAAAAGGAAAATATGCTATTGATTTTCAGCAATTGCGTTTCAAGAGGGACTTAAATTCTTGGGTTGTGCATGATGAAATAAATAAGTAAATTCACAGAAAAAGTAAATGAACCCCAACAGGATACAAAGATAAACAAGTGTGCTAAGAATTATTTCCCACAATGAAAGTATGCCTGGAAAAACACTCTTCAATCAAAGAAAAGAATACATCCGATTTTGTTTCTACTAGGAAACAGTTTTTAGATTTTGTGCAATAAGTGAAACTCTGACTTTTGGTTTTGCTGATTATATAGGTTTGTTGTTAGAGAAATAGCTGGCATACATGTCTGAAAAAGTAAAAAGTTGAGGCTGTAATGTTACCACTTTTATTCTACTGCAGTGAATAAATTTGGAAATTAATGCCTTTTCCCGCCCTTCCCTACCTTCCTCCTTTTTTATTTTATTTTTACTTTATTTGATGTATTTGAAGTTTAATAAAAGTTATACTTAAATAGTCTTATTTTACAAGAGGTTCCTTGCTCTTTTCTAGGGCGGCAGAATTCTAACATTTCGTATGACATTAATACACACATATATACTTGGCAGGTAATTTAGAATGTTTCCACCAGAAGTTTACCAATAATTCAGTAAAATTAAAATGAATCGTTTGAACACTCACAGGCTGAAATATTTTGAGTTTTTTCTTTCCACTTGGATTTGCAGCTTTCTCAATACGACCCTTGATGCCTTGATCCTCAATGGACTTTTGTTCAATAGTTCCCATGCTTGTGAACTCTGTGCCATCACCTGTAACCTGTCCCAGCACAGCTTCCTGTTGATTTGTTTCCATAGCTATTTCATCATGCACCTGCAGAATGGTGCAATTTGGGCAGATATAGTCTTCTCCATTTCTTTCCAGCAGGCGCCCACGGGCCTCTGAAATACCTACACAATTCCCATGAAACCATTCCTCACATCTATCACAACAAATCATAAACCTTTAAAAAACAAAACATTAACAAAATATCAGTAACATATATCNTGGCTGAGAAAAAGATGTGTGAAATGAGGTTAAATGTTCTGATTCTGGACAGCCAGAATCAAAGTAACGAGAATAGTAGAATATGGGACATCCCACCCCCCAAGTGGATGGCGCAAATCGCATCTTTGGGATATATTGGCTGGATTTCCAATTAAAGCTTATTTCCATGTTATGATTTTGTCTATTATTTGGATTCTCAAAACCACCTTTTTGTGACATTATTTATCCCAAGGCCGTGTCAAAGAAGCAACGCACCCATAGAATAGTACAATAAATGAAACAACATCCTATTTCATCCACTAATGAAGAATAAAGTACAGCACCTGAAATACTAATACAAAATAAAACACAAATACCATTCCAGCGGGGACAAGTTGTGACGCATTGGCCTGGCTTTTATACTGCAGGTGTGCTAGCATTTTGAAATTCCCTTCCCTCAACTAATCTACATATTCATTTGTTTGACGTAAATTCCAGAACTGTGGAATAGCTTGGTGGTTGGTTTTAGATATAAGGAACTTACATTCAAGGTGCAATTTAAGTAAAGGATTCACTGCCTCTTGTATCATTGTAAAGGATATTATGAAATGCTCTCTGGCTAAATTAACCTCAAATCATAAATGTTATTTAATTTCATAACTTTCTAAATGAATATTAGGAAATCCTCTCAGGCTAAATTTAAGATAGAATTTAGTGTTCCAGGCCTAATAATGTGTTGATATACTATTGTGTTGAAACTATTCTGCCTCTTCTTCCAAAAGCATTATTGACTTTCCATCTACTAGAAAAAAAATATTTTATATAGTGCTTTTCCTCTCAAAAGCACTGAATGTCCCTTTATGTAAGCACTAGGTGTTTTCTTCAAACCACTAACCAAAAGTCTGGAACCATTAAACGGTGTGTGATTTTTTTAGAATTAAACACTAGGTTGCCCGAGATTTAGATCACCTAGATAATACATTTCTAAGACCTAACATATAATTATGATTAAAGATAAGTCTTTTCCGCTCTCTCAAAGTAAAAAAGAAAAGAAAAGAACAACCAGATATTGAAATCCAGATATTACAGTGGAGATCTTCCCAACAATCTGGGGACAGCTTAGGAACCAGACGACACACATTTTAAGTTATTTTAGACATTTGTGAACAGTAAACAAATACAAAAGCAACTGGAGCCCAGAAATTCTATTATTCAAGTATGGTGATGCAGCCTTAACACCAAATGCTGCAGAACACACCATTTCCTACAATATTGATGTCTCTTTCAAAGGCTGAAAAGCATATAAATACAAAGACTGCTGTGTGTGCTTAGGAGATCCAATCTTACTTCATTAGATGATGATCACCTAACTTCTGTATATGGTTAATTCTTACTGTACTCTGCATAATATTAACTATTAATTGTTATCTACAAATACTGCAATAACCCTCCTACACCAAGAGAAGAGAGTAACTCTTTCCTGGATAACCTCAATCACCGCAGGATAATGGAGTTGATTTAAGGTATGAATTTATAGTTGGTGTCGGAAGGGACATAAAGAACTTCAAGACAGCAATTAACTTACCTTCAAAGTCAAGCCAAAGCCTTCTTAAGATGATAGAAGTTCTTCACTAAACATAAACTGAATTGAATGCATTCATTTCTGTGTCCATCAGCAATTGTTAAAAACATGGTCAAACTACAAATCTCACTTTTAACTTATAAGCTTTTTAGAAAAAGACTCCAATGTTGTTATTATCCTACTTACAAGAAGACATATGAAAACTTAAATTGTTAGTACCTGATTTGCCCTGCGAGTAAACAGTTCTGACAGTAGCAGGAAAGAAACCCATGTATGCTGAAAATCAAGCACTACTTTCAGGCTGCTGCTGTTAACAAATGTACTAATATGCGTACAGAAGTGACCAATTCCTTTTGGAAATGTTCAACTGGTCATCAGAATTAATGAAAAGGCTGAAGAAAAACTATTTGGGGTTGGACTGGAAGACTTCCGAGGTCCCTTCCAACCCTACGATTCTACAACACTCCTATAGAGTTTAAAAGAAGGGTTCAAGATTCACAAGCCTTAGAAACATAATATCTCTTTCATATATGACTGTCAAGCAAGAACTGTAAACATGGAGGGCTACACCCCTCATATAAAGGGGAGCAGGAAAATGTTCTGGATAGTTTCTCCTCAAGCCTGGGAGCTCCACTCCAGGGGGGTTTCATCAGTCATCTTCCAATGGTTATAAAGATGTAGCCAAACTCAGCCGTCAGAGGTTAAGGGGAAAAAATGAAGTCAATTCTTTTGCATGCCCGGAACCCTATCAAGGTTCACACTCACTCGAATAATACATCAGAAATGAAAAATGTGAACTCCAGATTGCAGACTGTAACCTATTTAAACAGAAGGGTAAAAAAGTTCCTAAAAGAAGAATGGTTTTACATTATCAAGCATCCATTTACTTACCTTCACAAGCTACCAAGATGCTAAAGAAATTCTGTAAACTTATCATATACAAGCTGAGAATTCTCAGTCTGCATTCCTGTTTTGAAGAGAGCTTATATAGCACACAGCTTTTGTATTTTTTAAAAAAAGCAAAAAACAAAGGCAGAAAACAAAACAAAGGAAGCATCTGGATTTTACGCTGGGCTTCTGGAATCACTTCAGGAGGTTCACTTTCTTGGTAGGAGTTTTCTCCTCAAAAGGGATAAAAAGGTGTGTTTGTGTAAAGAGGCAAATTAATGGTTCAAATCCCTTAAAAGCTTACAAATTCTGACATTTCTAAGTCAAAACGCAAAGGAATAATAAGGGGCCAATCTTAACAGTAGATACAATTATGTCATTACATTACATAACAATATTAATATTATAAATGATTTTACCTACCTTCTGTTAAGACTATAGCTACCTACTATGGAGCACATAAAGAAAATTATGCCTACCTTTGCAGATTAAATTCCAGTTATATACAACTAAACAAGAATGCCCAAGTTGTTTATAACACTATGCAAGAACCTTGGAATTTTTCCCCTGAGAAACATGTGTGTCAATCTTTGAAGATAGAGCAAGGGAGCCATTAAAATCCCTTTCTGTTTTTTTGCAGGCCCCAAAATGGAAATTGTATTGATAGGAAGAATAAACGACTGCAGAAGAATCCCTGGAAAATACATACATTTGAATAACAGTGCTGGTGAAATGGCAGGAGTCTGTTCTGGCTTTACTGCATTATAATTATGATCGCTGGCCCAGGATGGTGTGCTGCTCTCTGGGGTTGGCTCTTTACCAACTGTCTGAGCGTTTGCTTCTGTCTTAATAGTGGCCACTGGCGTTTTCTTCATGATCATCTCTCTCTTCTCAGCAACTGGCCTCTTCTGCATGGACAAAGGTTTGGTACCCGCCTGTATAACCAGCAGAACCCTAATCACTATATTTTGCAAGGATAAAATCATTATGACACAGGAAGAGGGCAAATCAATTTAGATATACTGGAAATATTGTTATGCAAAAAGATTGGCCTATTCTTTTTCAAGCAGAAATCACATCCTGGTCCCAATCTCTCATTCTGCACAATGAATGCTTACATGACCTTAAAATATTTCCTGGTGACAAGTGTTTGACTTACTAGTGCACTAATCAAAATATTGCACACTTATACAAAAATCTTTACCCACCAATTTGAAATCATTTCTAAAACACATTAATTACTCTTAAATGAAAACAAAAACATTTCATTAAGTATTTGGTTTAGTGAAACCTTTGAAGCTGCTATTCAAGCTGAGATGGCACAGTGGTTAGAATGCAGTACTGCAGGCTACTTCTGCTGACTGCAAATTTGGCAATTCGAATCTCACCAGGCTCAAGTTTGACTCAGCCTTCCATCCTTCCAAGGTGAGTAAAACGAGGACCCAGATTGTTGGGGGCAATAGACTGACTCTATAAGCTGCTTAGAGAGGGTTGTAAACTGGTATATCAGTCTAAGTCCTATTGCTGTTCTGATGGCAATAAAGATCTACTTATATCTTCAATTACTAAGAAAAATGTGAAGCTTGACTCAAATCTACAATGATTCAATAAGAATAAGAATTCCCCCATTCAGGAATATGCTCATTTTTTAAAATTCACCACACAGTTTATAGAGTCAGTCTATTGCCCCCAACAATCTGGGTCCTCGTTTTACTCACCTTGGAAGGATGGAAGGCTGAGTCAAATCTGAGCCTGGTGAGATTCGAATTGCCAAATTTGCAGTC